AAAAAAAAACAAAGGGTCCGCCGGGCGGTGGTGGCACACGCCTTTAATCCCAGCACTCGGGAGGCAGAGCCAGGCAGATCTCTGCGAGTTCGAGGCCAGCCTGGGCTACCAAGTGAGTTCCAGGAAAGGCGCAAAGCTACGCAGAGAAACCCTGTCTCGAAAAAACAAAAAACAAAAAACAAAAAACAAAACAAAAAAAAAAACCAAAGGGTCCAATGGATGAAGCTTGGTCCTTTTTAAAGGCTTGCTTAGCATGCCCCAGGCCCCAGGTTAGGTCTCCAGAACTGTGTCACCCTGGGCAAGGGGGGGGGTCACACCTGCAATCCCAGCACTTGGAAGGTAGAAGGAGGGTGAGGTCTTTTTAGAAACATACCAAGTTTGAGACCAGTCTGTTACTTATAAATGTAAGTATAGTATATGATACCCTATCAAAAAGGGGGTATCACAAACGAAGAGGCTGGGGCGGGGTGGAGGTGGCACTTTAATCCGAGCACTCGGAAGGCAGAGGCGGGAAGATCTCTATGAGTTTGAGGTTAACCTGGTCTACAGAGCAAGTTCCAGGACAGCCAAGGCTACATAGAAAAACCTTGTCTCAAAAAACAACAACAACAACAACAACAAAAAACCAAAACCAGGGGCTGGAGAGATGGCTCAGAGGTTAAGAGCACTGACTGCTCTTCCAGAGGTCTTGAGTTCAATTCCCAGCCACCACATGGTGGCTCACAACCATCTGTAATGAGATCTGGTGTCCTCTTCTGACCTGCAAGCATATATGCTATATACATAATAAATAAATAAATCTTAAAAAAAAAAAAAAAAGAGAAAGTCTAGGTTATGGGCCACAGAGATTCCTGAGGGTTTTCTCTCTAGTCCCCTTCTCTCCCCCACACCCCTCATGTCCCCACTTAATTTCCACAGCAACATTGTTTGCAGAACCACCCATAAAAGAAGGGACGCTTTAGCAAGCAGTCCCCTCCCCATGGCTTCCTGCACACACGGTCATCTAGAGCATCCGAGTATTAGTGAGCCAAGCTGGAAGGGAAGGAACCCCTGCCTCAGGTGAGAACCGCTTCACTGACGGCTCATGATGTCCTTGTGGCAAGAGCTTTGTTCTAGGGTTCCTTCTAAGAATCTGCACCCTCACAGACCTGAGAAAGCCGCCTCAGACAATCCTGACTCTGGCAGCGGGTTATGCTGACTCCATGGGGAAAGGAGGCCAGTGAGACAGCTCCGCAGATAAAGGCATTCGCCACCACACCTGACGACCTACATTCACTCCCTGGACCCACAGGGCGGAAGAAAGGACTGACCCCCGCAAGTTATCTAACTCTGAGCTCCATGAACATAAATACACATATGAAACCAGTGAGTGTAATATTTTTTAAAAACTGTAGGGGGAAGCCTATGAGGTATAAAACAGGGAAAGCTGTGGTATTGTGCTCCCCAAAATATTGTGTACTCTAATAAATTTATCTGGGGTCAGAGAACAGACAGCCAATATTGTGTACTCTAATAAATTTATCTGGGGTCAGAGAACAGACAGCCACTAGATACAAAGGCTAGAAAATGGTGGCACTCACACCTTTAATCCTAGCATTCCAGAGATAGAAATCCCTCTGGATCT